ACTCTGCCCCCCCATCTCCCCAATTTGCCTAACAGAGAGCCTCAACCTTCCGTGAACACCCCTATACTCTTTGCATCCGACCGGGAAGCTAGAGGACAAGATTCAGTAGTTGTAAAAATGATCCCATATTGAAATTCAGGTGTTTCTTACTGTGCAAAGTGGCCAGATGAGATAGCCAGATCTGAACTGAACATGGCAAAATGGCGCTCCCTGGTAGAGTTGTTGAACATAGGTGGTGACACGCCGGAAGTTTTGGATGGCTGTGAAACTGGGTTCCATCAAGGAATTCCTCAACATCACATGGGATCAAGACAGTGGTTTACTCCAAAGAACCACGAGTCAGCAATGCTAGCTGAAGAGAAGATACAAAACTCTCTGGCAAAAGAGAAGAGAGCCTTACGTATCTTTGAGCCTTTTAATCACGAAGAAGTATTTGCCAAGATTGGTTTCTTCGGCTCAAACCCAATGGGCAGTGTAATAAATGGTGATGGCTCGTTTTGTATCATCAACAACCTTTCCTTCCCTCACGACAAACCATTGACTCCTTCTGTGAATAGCTTTGTTGACAAAGCTGAGTTCGAAACCTGCTGGGACAATTTTAAAACAGTTGTCTGGTTCTTCAAGAGAAATGATGGAAATCTGATGTTAGCCTTTTTTGACTGGGAGAAAGCTTATCGACAGATAGCTACTCACCCATCCCAATGGCGCTATCTGTTCATTTTAGACCTGTATAACCAGCTATGGATGGATACTTGTGTCCAGTTTGGTGGCGTAGCAGGGTGTGGTGTATTCAGTCAACCCGCAGATTTGTGGCGGAAGATAATTGTGAAATACTTCAACTTAGAATCAGCCTTTTGTTGGTAGAACAAAGAACCAACAAGACTACCATTGCTGACATCATCCGGCTTAGCAACGGGATGGGTGTTTCTTCAAATCCTGAGAAAGTACATGACTTTGCCAATGAGCAGAAGTACATTGGCTTTATATGGAACACAAAGGAACAAACAGTTAGATTACCTGTAGAAAACTTGAGGAAAGGAGACGACAAATTACAGACTTTTTAGCACCAAGAGGATCCTTCTACCTGAAAGAAGCCGACCAGTTTGTAGAACGGTTGGTCCATACTTGCTACACTGTACCGCATCTGCAATTTTGCATGCCTAGCTTATGGAAATGGAAGAAGGAATGAAGAGATTTGTCAGCCAAGAGAAAGATTCCGAATGATGTACGAGAAGACCTTCAAGAATGGGATGAAACTTTACGTACGTTTGACGCCAGACAAATTATCACTGATACGACCCCAGTGGACCTAGATTGGGTTGGCAATGCTGCTCTCAAAGGGATTGGTGTGCTTATTGGTGGAAAGGAATGGGTGCAATTTGCATTGCTAGAAGGGTGGAACTCAGATTCAGGAAACGGTGTGATTCAAAACATTGCCTGGGCTGAAACTGTGGCGATTTGAATAGGATAAATCATGATTAGTCAACTGCACAGAGTCGGAGGAAAGCGATTCATAGTGCTTACTGACAATACCACATCCCAATTGGCCGTAGAGAAGAGAATGTCCGGGGACAGAGCCATAAATGGGGAGTGGAAAGCAATCCAGAAGTTGCTCATGACATTACACACTAACTTAAATGCCTCTCGAGTGAAATTGGGTGACAGCATGCCCAATCTTTTGTTGAGAGGTCTTGATGCTAGAGAAGCAGTTGATATGATTGTGATCAAAGTTCCACTTGATCTCAGACAGTTTGTTGTACAAATGCTGTGAAATAAACGTCATGTGACATCATGTTTATTCAGTTTTGTGAAATCACTGAGTAGGTGACTCAACCCGGAGTCAGAGGTGACTACCAGTTTCCGGGGTGTCAAGTAGTTTGGTGTCCACACAAACCACTTCCCAGTTGCAAATGAGTTATTTCCTAACTGCTCATAACCAGGTATTATCGCATCCCTCATGGAGTTCAGAAGAGGCCCAGAAGGATCAGACTCATCCAAAACTGACTATGTGAAAACCTACATGTTAAACGGCGCCTGGGCGGAGACAACTCAAAAACACTACAACACCGGTGTCGCGAAATTGATGGTGTACATGTTAGAATGTCAAGTTCACAGGAGTTGACTCCTACCAATTGAACCCAAAATTCTGTACGACTTTTTCACATGGGCAAGTCCACCTTTAACGGACAGCGAGTTGATTCAAGGCCCCACTTTGATTAAATTGATGACAGTTCGATTGTATCTGTCTGGCATCAAGGCGTGGCACCTGCTACACGACCAGAAATACCCTCACAATGCCACACCAAGAGCAGAATGTATTTTAACGACCACCGCAAAACTAGAGTTGCTGAAGACTCCAAACATTTCAAAGAACCCCGTTCTTGCTAAACATTTATTTATGTTGTTAGAAGCTCTTTCAGGTGGTACTTTAGAAGAACAAGTGGCTTACATTGTGGCCCTTGTAGCTTTTTGGGGAATGGCACATTTGGGTGAATTGCTAAAGTCTTTGGTAAAAGTCAGTCAAGTAAAAGTAAAAGACGTTATCTGGCACTCGGATGACAAGTTTTCAAAGATTAGAATTCAAGAAGCCAAGACTGTCACAGTGGGTGAAATTCAGGGAATTCATTGTCAACATCAAAACTCATTACTAGACCCAGTGGGGTCAGTCAGGCGTTTGATAATTAGCTCGGGAGCTACAGAAGACAATGATTTATTCTCTTATCCTTGCAACGGTAAACACATCACCCTCTCAAAGAGCAGGGCAATGAGGCTCTTCAACAATGTATGGAAACTTAAAGTTGGAGTGAAGCTCACCGGTCATTCCTTCAGAGTTGGCGGAGCTTCAGTCAGGTGGAATCTGGACACTCCGTTAGAGGAAATCATCACGGTTGATCGCTGGAAATCAAAAGCTTACAAACTTTACATCCACAAATTCAACAGTAAAGAGCTATGTGATACTATAAATCTGTTGAAAGATCTCAAGTTTCCTTAATCATTATGTCTTGGCATGCTAGTTTGGTATTTCAAATGCCCGTTTGGAATTGGTTTTGTTGATTTGTGTAACCCTTAGTACATGAACATTGCAACAATAAGCCAATAGGTGCGGGGGGAACCTTGACACGAGCCACTGTAGCTAGGGAGATCTCAGGCTCAGGATGCCGCCCCGAGTCAAGGGGAAGAGCTCTCCCATCTACAGAGACTGGTGGTCCTACCACCCCCTCTAGGAGGCCCCCCCCAAGGAACCAAAACCTCCTACAAATGGAAGTTATGTTTTGCCTAGGGCACACCAACAACTAATATTGAGTAATACAATCTGGAATTACACATCTCTTATGCTGTCCAACACAGATATCAGCAAGTTGAGAATGGCTGACTGGCGGTACCAAAAGGCACAACAGTACCGCCCCTTCCCATGACACGGGGGGAGATATTGTCTTGGGACAGTTCTGGGAACCATATCCTTCTACCTTGGATACAGCTTCTCAGGCGCGGAGTGTGGAAGGAGTGGAGCGGGAAAATTTCTCCCCTCCACTTCTTTCCCTTTCTCTTTTTATCTGCGCGCCAGACTCCCTGTCCGCAAGCCATCTCTCACCGCAGGCTTGGTCATCTCATCTCTCACATCATCTCTTTAATTTTTCAAACCCACCCTCCACCCTGGAAGTTTCTTTAATCTAATTCCTTTGATTTGAGCGTAAGTTTTGAGAATTTAAGGACCATTTAGCTTGTAGTCTCTGTCCCTATGTTTATTTAACCCTTTCTAGCCTGGTCTGTTTGTATCTGTAGTACTTAGTATTAGTTCTGTAGATGGGATGCCTAGCCCACCATCCAGAGCTCTCCAATCTACAGAGGCTGGTGGTCCTACCGCCCCCTCTAGGAGGTCCCCCCCAAGAAACCAAAACCTCCTACAAAAGGAAGTCACGGTTTGCCTAGGTCACACCAACAACTAATCTTGAGTAATACAATCTGGAATTACACATCTCTTATGTTGTCCAACACAGATATCACCAAGTTGAGAATGGATCTTAGCTGAAGAGTCAAGTTTTGCTTTCTTTGATTCGTTAAGATCTAGGTCTTCTTGATCAGGTCTGGGGGACACCACATTTCAAGGGACTTACGTTAAGTCAGGGGAGAACCGTGATGAGGCACCGAGCGGGGGGGGAGATGTTGGTAAAGGTGCCATGCCAGGGTTATGTGTGTGTGTCAGTGATGTGAGTTATTTCACAGGGTATGAAACAGTTGGGAAAGGCTGTGAAATGGCAACTGAAACTCAGTCTTGGTCCTCTTGACAGCCCTATGTTCCATAAAGTTTAGAGCAAAGGCTGAACATGCAGGGCTGTTCATGAATACTTATTGAGCTAAGGCGGTGGAACAGGCGGAACCATGCATATCTGAGCTGCTCAGATGAAACACAATTGCGACACAATTGCAAGACTTTTGCAAGACTCTAGCCCCCCTCAACGTCAAGGGGGGTTTTGGCGGTCCTTGTGTTAGCCGTTTTGGGTTTTATGCTTTCTGCTTCTCAGCCTGTGTTGGGCTTTTGTGAGTAGATTTCCCTTTGGGTTGTCTTCATAGTTTTTTTTTGGTCTTTATAAAGTCCTCTGCAATGGGTGAACTAATGCGTATGTGGTTGATCTGACCCTGGTAACCTAGGTTATTGATATCTAGGAACGGAGGACCAAGAGTAGCACCATAACATGGATGGGAAAATAGTCAAATAATATGGATTGACGAGAAAGTGGCAGATAAGTATGTAATGTTCATCTCACCTGTTCTCACTCTAGGACTTGCTACCAAGCCTGATAGTTTCTTTCCTCCATTTTTTCTCATGTATTTCCTTTCCTTCCTTTTCTTCTCATCCTCAATTCTTGCTTTCTTTGACTGCACCCAGGACAATTTTGAATCATTGTATGACTTGTCTGAAAAGATCATTTCACTGTCGATGTATTCTAGTGTCAATTCGCTTCTTGCACCTTCTTCATTGTGGTTTCCCTAGTTAGTTCCTATTGCTTGTTCTTCAATGATCTGTCCTGAGCTTTGCGCTTTGGCTTGCACTTGAGTTTAATTAAATTTTGGGGTCTCTCTTGTTCTTGCTGTAAAAGCAGTTGTGTTGGATTTTGATCATCTGAACTATGCGCCTGTCCTTGGTTCTCTAAGTTTTCTGGCTCTGACACTTGTTCTGGTGGTTGATTTTGTGTTTGAGTCCCAAGGTTTGTGTCTTTTGTCTTGGGTTCTTTACGTGTTTTCTTTGCTGCCGGTACTTTTTCTGCTGGAGGTGGTGCTTCTGGTGGAAGATGACTGCCTTCTTGACTTTCTGGAGGGACTGAGTTTTCCCTGCTTTTCCATTTTGTCTGAATCCTCTCAGTTTCTGTTTGGTTTTGTTTTGTTCTGCAAATAGCTCTCTTTGATTTTGTTCTGACATTTCTTCTTTAGTTTCTTTCTCTTTCTCTCTTTCTTTTTTTTGAATGAGTTAAAATTTATGAATAGGATATTTTCTTGATTGATTCTGCTTTAATGTTTTTCTTCTTTTGAAATTCTTGAGAATTTAATGTTTATGACCTTTGCGCAATAAGGAAACTGTGAGTAGTGTGGAATTTTTTTCTATCTTCCAAATTTCCTCTCTGCACTACTGCACAAACTATTTGTACAGTTTGTCCTTGGGCTTAAGCCTAAGTCCTTCTTGCTCTTAGACACATGCTCTCACTTCCCTCTGTAGACCTGAGTCACCCTGTGTGCACCTTGGGTCACTCTCCCATCACTAGGTGTGGCTCCCAAAGATGAGGTTGACATTGAATGCAAAGGAAGGGAAGCACTGGCAGAACAAGCGGTAAGTTTGTCTGAGCTATCATAAACATTGTATTTTGATATTGTAGCACTGAATGTCAAAGAGTGGGAGTTGGTGGATGACATGGACCCGCTGTTCTAAGTGAAGGAAGGGTTGTGTTCTTGAGACAATGAGAAACAAAGAGAGGGAGAGTTGCAAGGAAAAAATTCATGTGATTGAGAGATCTGTGACAGGAAAAGATGTGACTAGAATGAGGCAATTGATTAATATTCAGGATACAGTACATTGTGGATCCACTGGAGTGACCATCAAAGAAAGCCCACAATCTATGAGGAATGCACAGATTTACAGGCATCAATTTCTAGCTTATTTATCAAAGATGTAAGCTTTGAAACATATGATTTTATCTATTTGTAAAAGCAAGGAACATAAAGCTGAAAGAAACAACACCATTCCTAGGGTTATTCCGCAGATCAACCAGCTTCAATGGTTAGTTAGTTGATCAGAAATTGAATCTCTAACTCACACAAGGAGATCACAAAACTAATAAGATCAGTCAACACAGCATTTGTCAAAGCTAATGAAAGAAAACACAGCCAGCATCCAAATAGCTGCATAGGACATATCAAACAGGAGAAACTACACCAAGACATCATTTCTTGGCTTATAATATCATTGATATTTATAACTACCATAACCCCCACCACCACCACCACGGGGTGGACACCCACCACTACCACATGGCCCACCACCACCACCAAATGGACCACCACCACCACCACTACCACATGGCCCACAACCACCACCAAACGGACTACCACCACCACCATTACCCCCCTGGAATGCATAGGGATTACCACCCCTGCCACCCCCAAAGCCACCCCCAAAGCCACCCTGGAAGCCACCCCCACCACCCCCACCACCCCCTGGTGCCATCTGATAACCCCCTGGAAGGCCACCCCCCCCACCCATACCACCCTGCATATACTGACCACCCCCATTTCCGCCATATTCCTCCTTGAAATAATTTATCCACTGATATGCTCTGAGAAAAAATAATCCAATGCAAGCCACTGAAAGAATTTGTGCCAAGAAGGCCAGTCCCCCTCCCCCTCCCTTTCCCCCTCCACCTCCCCCCCCTTCTTGGCGGTTGTTACAACCCAGTAATTTCCTCAACCTCATGCGTGGCACATATTTCTCCTCTGGGTTTTCCTTTGGGGTATAGATTGTCTCATCAAAGTTTTCATTCAATTTGGCCAAGTATTTAGCTGGTTGTGCACGATCCATCAAACTCTGGACTGCAGGAATATACTCTACTGAGGCCACTGCAGCAGCTGGAGCAAGCACTGAAGTACTTCCCAGCTCTAAATGAGGAGAAATGGGTAGTAGGTCCAGAGGCCTACCATCTACCAGGTATTCCTTACTAAGTAATGCTAGAAGAACAATTCTTCCGATTTTTGTCTTAAATACTGAAGCTTTTTTTGGAGTGATTTCAGGCATTATGTTGCTGTAGATCTGTGGATTGAGAAGAGAATTCACAAATTAAAAAAACCTTGAAGTGTATTACCCAGTTATGAATTAAGCAAACTTACCAAACAAAATCTTGTATCCTGGTATCTTGGGTATTATCACTGTTGATCTTCAAAGATGTATCTGTTACTAATGGCTCTGAAGATAATAGATTGGCAAACTTTGATCTTTTATGGTAGATATGGGCTCAAGGGGTCTTGATAGTACTAGGTGATCAAGATACAACGACTTCTTCAGATCCAGGGCTTGAGATCTATCTCTTTAGAGACAAAAAATTGGTCAAAGAGATTGAAAATTCAAGGAAGACGAGGGAGTGAAATTTTTGTGTGGCAGCTGAAAAATGATGAGACTTTATGCGCTCCAATGCCACATCACTTCAAACCAGACCATAGAATGTTTTTCCCCACATGTCTGACCAAGTGTTCAGACAAACCTCAAGAAATGATTCAATTGAATCTTATGCAACATCATTGCACCAAAGGTTGTGACAATAAAGTCTGTTATCTTAATGTGAGGCTCTTGGACTCGCTACCAAGTTCCACTTATGTAAAGAAAAAATGACATAAATAGATTTGATTTGCAACAATGATTGATAATGATGAGACTTTACATGTCTGACATTGTGTTGAATTCAGTTTTGAGTGAGCTCAGTCTATGCAGCTTTTGTGTGCAGAAAGGTTACAAAAACTGAATCATCTTGAAATGATGATTATGGCTTGAGAGCTAGATTGGCAGATGTGCCTCAAGTGGCTACAGGCTTTGTGGCAATGTATAGCTCAGACAATTCAGCTAGGCTTCCTGAATGGGATATGGCATTTTTTATCAACCCCTCTCGATGATACAAATGATAAAAAGTTTGGGCGGGTGGTGGTTTATCAAAATTTACGTATACAATAAAACTCTCCCGGTGTTTTGAGTTGAATTGACCTCTGTAGATGATTTGATTTAATCTTATGCCAAATCACTTCACCAAACTTCGCACTGATGAGGAGTGTCATGTCCTTGTGAGGCTGTTGAGTCCTGTTGAGTCCCAACCGACCTCTGCGGATACAAAGGAAAAATTGAATGATGGTCTCAATTTGTAACAATGATTGATCATGATGAAACTTTACATGATTACAACATTCAATTCCGTTTTGAGTGTGTTCAGTTTATGCAGCATGCTTTTGCAGAAAGGTTACAAAAACTGACTTGCGGCAATGAACAGATCAGATGATCTAGCTACAAAGCTTAACTCATGAAAACTGGCCATTGCCACTCAATCCTGCTCTGATGATACCATGAGTAGTTTGAGTGCACAGTTGCTTAGTGAAGCGTTACTGTGATTTACATATATTTACAATCATCTTTCGCAGGGTTTCTTGTAGCTTCTAGTTCAATTAACCTCCGCAGATGAATCAATCAAGTCTTACGCCGGATTATTCCACCAGAATGGTGCTGGTGAAGAGTGTCAGATCCTTGTGAGGCTTTTGAGTTGCTGCTGGCTTCCGCATATGTAAAAATATTGAATGATGGTCTTGATTTGCAACAACAATCAATCATGATGAAACTTTTGATGATTACACAATTCAATTCTGTTGTGTGTGTGCTGATTTAATGCAGATTGCTCTTACAGAAAGGTTACAAAAGCTGACTTGCAGAAATGCATAGGACAGACAATCTAGCTAAGCTTACCTGATCAAAGATGGCCCTTTCTACTTGACCCTTCTGATGATACCAATGATGAAAAGGTTGGGCGGGTGGGTGGTTTTGTAAAATTTGTGTCACAGTGATTTACGTAGACAATTATCTTTCAAGGTGTTTCCAGTTGAATGAACCTCCACAGATGATTGAGTTGAATCTTGTTCCAAATCTTTTCACCAAACCTTGTGCTGATGAAGAGTGTCATGTTTTTGTGAGAGGTTGCGACTGAAAATAAAAAATCAAGGAAAACAACAAAAAAAAGAATGATGATGATGAAACTTTACAGGATTGCAATTTTTGATGAATGAGGGCCAATCCTCAGGCCTTTGATGTTGACCTGTCCCTCCCCCATGAAAGTCAGCACAAATATTTCACTCATTCTTTCTGGCGTGTCACATCCCTGATGAAAGCTCAGTGAGAGCTTTCATTTGTGTGACCTGTTACACCTACACCCACAGTGCACCGCTCCACTCTGCTAAAACTCCAATTTTTACAAGTGTAGTGATTTTGCGCTATGAGGAAACCACTAACGCTACACTATGTTTTTCAAAGCGCCATGGTGTTTTGGAAGCAATGCGGGTTTAAAAACCGCTCCGCTCAACTATTGCTCAATCTCACAGCTGGTAGTGCCTCAGAGTGCGGCAAAGGCTTTTATTGTTCAACCCATGTTTATTAATTTGTTATATCAGAAGAATCTATAGAGTAGGGATAATGAGAAACTAAATTGAAAAAAATTGAAGAGAAACATGCACAACCTTTTTTTGGATTTCTTTAGATAATTAAAGAACTAGAGTGATCAAATCACAAAGTCTGCGTTATGTGAAACAAAAGAACAAAGAAATTCAAAAAGAAAACCTACAAGTTGAGATTGAATTGGATCAATTGATTGAGATGCTAGCAAAACAAAACAACCTCAAGAGTCATAAAATTAGAATAAATCAAATAAAGTTAATTAGTTTTACATACTCAGAGGCTGTAAAAGCCCTTCTTGAACTTCCCTATTGAGCCTAGATTTAAAATACCAACACTTTCCAAATAGGGCAGCGCAGATACGTCACCAAATTTTGGTGCAAACTTTGCTTGACAGTTTGTACCGCGGTCACTAGGGAGATGAAATGTCTGCTTTGAATGTCAAACGGTTCTCAATGCGGAAGCCAATCTGATTCTTGAGGTCCGTCCTTTTGATGTGTGAAGCTCGGGCTTTATATGTTTGGATTTGCGAAATCTTGTGATCACTGGTCATTGCGTTTTCCCCTTATGGCATTCTCACAACCGGTCAAATGAAGGGAAGGAGCTCGACACTGCCTTTGGGTGTGGTTGGTTGATACACTATTCCGCAGTGGAGGTGAACGTTGGTGGGTGTGTTCAAGGAAAGCGTGATGGGGGAGCAGTAATTATTCCTCATGGTCTCAATTTTTTTTCTTCCATTGTCACCAAGGCCAGCGGCATCATCAATCAATACGCTGACTTTGTCAATTTTTGTCCTCTGCCTTGTAGGGCGGAAACTTCACATACTTTGTTATATCTCTGTGTTTTGTTATCATTGGAACAAGGCCCTCAGCAACTCACTGACTTGTCTTTTATTCGCGTCTTGTGCTTCTCTGCAGACCAACAACAAAGTCAGAGCTCCTCAACACTCTACCTCCTTCTTTGTAGATCTGTTATCACCTTTTTGTTATTGTTTCTCTATGGATTTCAAAGTATCAGGGCAAATCTTTCTCTTTATTATCTTGTCCTTTCCAACCATCAGCTGTTTCATCTCCTTCCAAGTGTACATTCTAGTCCAAGGGGAACCATGGCCACAAGTAATCCCTGTCCTACTAATTCCTCAAGCCACAACAAACCTGAGGTTTTCAACACTGGTTCTAGCACACAAATATCAACTGTTGTCCTCAGTGGGACCAACAATTTTCCCCAACCGGCCAACATTCATGATTTTCTGCCCTTCCCATTAGTTCATGTCATCCCTCCCCCCGCTGGCTTCAATCACAACCCAGACTTCAATTGCTTTGTTTGCAACACTCCATGTCTACCACCCTGTTTCCCCACTAATTGTTTGCATCACCCTTCCTTGCAAGATAAAATCCCAAACAATGTAAGTTTTGCTATGAAGGCTTCCTCCCCATGGATTTCTCAATGCCTCTCACTCAGGAATTGTAAGTCATTTCTCTTTCAACACTATTTTGCCTACTAGTTGTCTCAATCCAGACTTGCACCTAGGCAGTTGCAGTCCCCTCACTCACAACACCACCTCCCACCTCAAAAGTCCTTTGATGACAACATATTCAACTTTGGTCTGGCTGGTCACCGCAATGTGTACTTGGTTGATAGTCTCTACTGCCGGCGCAAGAAAGCTATCAACAGCATCTTCTGTGCTTCTTGAAGTGGCTCAAGATTGTACCAGCAAGTGTTGCACCTTGATTCATAGCCATCACTCAGATCTGAACGGTGGGCCAATTGTCAAATTGTTTAGAGCTGATGTTGTTAGCATTTTACGCCGCTACCACACTATTCATACTGTTGAAAGGATCAAGAGGCAACACCAAGCATGAGCATTAGTTGTTCAACTTTGCAAGCTGATACTCTTCTGTTCATCTGTTGATTTTCCTTACATTTTTGCACTCATTTTGCCGTAATTTTTTCTGGTTTTTAAGATATTCTCAACATCATTCTACTGTGACTCTGTTTTCCTGACCTGCTCCCAGTGCTCCATTCCTGTTGTCTCAGTTTCTCTAATTTCTCGGGCAGGTAGCAATTCAATGTAAGTGTGTGCTTCCGTTAGTTGCTGCTTTATTCTTTCTTTGCATTGTTACATTTGTTCATCTGTGTACCATATGGCATGTTTTTTTTCACTTCTGAGTCATTCATTAGTCTGTGCGCTTGCAAGTTCAATTTGAAGTCTTTTCTTTCAAAGTGTTGATGCCTGGTGTGCGATTGGATCTGGACCGCAGGGATGAGGTTAGCTCCTTTCATCCCCGCAGCCTTGGAGATGAGGTTATGCCTCATCTCCGCGGGCTCAGATCCCTGAGTGACTACGAGCTACATTTGCCAATTGACTTTTGAGATATTTTGTTTGCTTACCAGTCCTGCGTGACTAAGCTGTGTGTGTCATTGTCCTGCATGACATATTTTACTCCTGAATCAAATATGTCTTGTGTCAGTCCTGCATTGACTAACCTTAGCTCCGTCAGTCCTGTGTGACTATCTCATTGTGTCATTTGATATAAGCTGTGCTCTACAACATGTCAGTTGTGTGATAGTTCCATTGTTGTCATTTCACTGCAGTCATCTCTGACATAACCCATACCCAAAAAATTGTGGCCCAAAAGTATGGGTTTTGCTAGAGTATAGGTTATCAGGTTGTGGGCGCGCTGATAATTTTGTAGGCGCGCCGAGGCGCGTTTTTTTGTGATTTTTCCCGCCAAGGCACCACTTGGCGTGCCGGGCGCGTATTCTTACAAAAAAAATTGCCAACAACCACAATGTTGTTTATACATTGTCATTTATTCTACGTTTGTATTGCTAGAGCTGTCTACCACCACCAACATACCTTTTGGAGGTGAGAAAAGCTAAAAAGAGCTGTCTTCAAAGCTCACAGCAAGGATCCAAGTCTCCAATATTGGTGACAGGACATAGAACTTCAAAGATCTGGTGTGTTTTGTGAAAGGCACGCCAACCCTGATTTTGCTGATTTATTTGACGCCTAGGCGTGCCAAAGCGTGTTTTTTGCGCTGCACCCACAACCTGAATAGGTTACCTCAATCTCTTTCAAAAGCCATATTTATATATTTACTGATAAAATATGGGTTATGACAAAGATTGTATGAAACAAAAACAAACTTGTTAGGAAACCTCAAAAAACATATCAGAAAGAGTCTGCTGCTGTGCAGCTTCAACACATAGCAATCAGCAGTGTCTAAGAGAGGCTTGGATGGCCCTTTCATACCTCTGCACTTCTTGTGCATTGTCACTTTCAAAGTAATATAGCATGATATCTGAGGCTTTGAGGAATTCTTCATTGGTACACCGTGTCCGTATCCGTGTAGCACGTCCACGTGCACACACCAAATACTTTCAATACATACTTGAAAGACACATTAAAGAGGTCTCCACAATAGGCATGTCTTCCCTTTGTCAACTGGGACGTTGGCACTCAGTTGACCCCAACTGCTGACAAAGGATCCCACAAATTCTTTTGTCAAATTGTCATTCACAAAGGGTGCTCGGCACCGATCTCAGACTAAAGCCTACCAAACAGCTTTCTGTTTTTTTTCAAAACTCTCCGTGTGTGCACGTCGACGTGCTACAAGGATACCGACATGGTGGTAGGTTGTGGTGGTGAGGTATATTTCCTACTGTAGATTCTTTTTCATTTGCTTCTTGTTGCATTCTTGAAACCTTCCCCAATATTGGCCACACTGTATTTGGACAACTTTGCAGGAAGCATAATGTAATTGAGTTTGTGATGTGTGGTGTGTGAAAGTTAAATAAGATTGAATAAGGTTACCATCAATAGAGTTTGCCTGTAAATCTTCATGTTTAGAGTTTTTCAAGCCTCCCTTGGTCATTTTTTTTGTCAAATGACCCCTGAATTATGGGTTATGAGCTTTGGTTTCCCTCAAAAACCTTATGGGTTATGGGGTACTACAAAGTTATGGGTCATGTACCCACTTTCTCTGCAATTTTTCTGCACATGGCCAAATTTGTATGGGTTTTGATGGAGTATGGCTTACAGCACAGATGGATTATGTCAGAGATGACTGTATATAACCTCACTGGAGCAGCTACAGGAAAGGTGCTTTGCTCTTCACCTTTCCTCTGTTTCATCTTGTGCTGCTCCAGGTAGGTTTTTCTGTCTTCTTGACTTTTCTCTCATTTTCTCTTTCTCTTTACATGAAATCAAAGTCTGAACCTTTCCTTTGTTTCATCTTGTGCTGCTCCAGACTCAAGAGATTCCACAGCAACTGTGAACCAAAGAAGGCTCAGCAGAGATCCCAAAACGTTCTAGGCCATGCGCAACGTGATTCTTGTCTGTGTAGACAAGGGGTACCAGAGGTTGGGCTAAAGGGCCAAGGACACGGTGAGCTTGGTCAAAGTTAGTGGCCGGTTGAGTAAACTGAGGACTTACTTGTTCCGCCAGCCAAGGTTTTATTTGGTGAAGCGGCGGACAAGTCTGGGAGACCTGAGGAGGGGGACTTTCTGGAGCTTGACAGCTGTGTTCAAGTCAAGAGTGATTGTAGATGAGACTGATGGAGCTTTGGTTTGAAAACCACCACTGAAATTCCAAAGGTCCTATAGATACTTCTTGGTTTCCCAGGGTAGTAAAAGCAAAACCAGATGGAGCAAGATTAATTTTGAGATCATTTGGGACATAGAGACTTTGGAAATGAGTTCAAAGGTCAAGTTGTAAGTCTTTGTAAGCTTGGTGATTAAATATGTTGATTCACTGCCAGGATTAAACACTGTCCTAATTGGGATAATGTGTTGCTTTTTGGGGATAATTAATTTTGGCCATATAAATGCTAAATTAATGCAAAAGTGATCATTATTACGTTAGGGACAGTGTTTAATCCTGGCAGTGATTGTACATGAGACTAAGATTGGCTTTTCCTTGGCCCACTTGGATGCTTTATGAGCTTCAAAGCCACAAGTGATGGTGATTTGAGGCGTGGAACCATCAAAAGCTGGTGTGTTGGACATTGAGCGTGATGTCCGTGGTCAACTCATAGCAGTTCCCAAGGACCATCCACAAGTGTGTTTAGCTTTACCAACTGGGAACACAGGGGACGTACATGTGCGGTTTTCCTTTGCTGCAGCAAGAGCATCAAACTGTTGGTAGGCCATTGCAGTTGAAGGCTGATACATCATGTTGTTGGGGATTGAGGCTGGGTATTGGACAGCATTGTTGTGAGCAGCCACCTTGGCAGCGGCGTGTTTGAACACTCTTGCATCAAAACTGGAGCTCAGGTTTGAATCTTGGTTGTTGGATTGATTATTTGCGTAAGCCGGGTGATTAGGAGGTTGAGGATAGGAGGCGGAGGTAAGAGAGTTGTTTTGGTTAAAGCTGTTAACAATTGGGGAGGCAGGTTCAACCAAGATTGAACCGCTTGATGAATTAACTTGTGCTGGCAAGGGAGAAGAAAGCCAGATTTCCAGACAAGGTGGACAAAACCCACAAAAGGTTGCTTGATTTTGATGACGGGAGGAGCACATGGGGGTATTCACATTCATTTTGCAAATCATATAAGTGAAGATGAAAGATGAAGGTAGGTGGAATAGTGATAACTAATCTAAGAAGAAACAATACTGGGTGAAGAGGATGGAAAAAATTACCAACCCAGACACACTTGGTTATATATAGAAGACAAGACATGGAAAACATGTGCTGGGTTATCCAGTACCGTGGCATGGCCCTCAATTCATGACTAGTCTGGGGAAATAACAGAATATTTTATTTATTGATGTATTGACGCAAATGGCAGTTGTAGGCAAGGCAGTCATTCAAAAATTGAAAAGTTACTAATCAATCTGGCTCGGTTGCTGAACCCAAGGGCAAGGTATAGTCCAGACTAGCGGACTCAGGGTCAAAACCATCCAGACAGGCCTCTGTAGCAAAGTTTCATCTTGAACTACGCGCTCTTGTGGTTTTGACTCAATTGTCGCTCCACAGCCACCATATATCTTGCTTATAACATGTGGCAACAACACCCGACTCGCAGCGCAGACTGCGAGGCACAGCCTGCGCTTGCGCTGTGGCTCAGCGCAGGGGTTTTTGAAAATACTGGTGACTGTGCCTTTTTGCAGTGCAGGGGCTGTTCGATTTTTTGCC